ATGACTATGAAACAGAGAGAGCCAGTTTAGATTAATTTTTTTTTTACTTCACCCCTGGGATTACATTTCCTATGGTCTCTCATCCAAATATTGAACAAGTCCAATTCTGTGCAGCTTTTGCGAGATGAAATGTATTCTGCTATGCCCCAATACGTTTTACTAGAGTAAAAATGAACTTGAGTAGTTAAATAAAAAGTAAGTAAAAATAAAACAGCCGATAACAGCTCCACGGATTCTAGAATCCCAGCCATCGTCTTTACATATTCTGTGAACCAGGCCGTGATATTGTTTACTGAAAGGAGACAGATCTCACTAGGTGCCCACAGCAATTTTGCTGTGTTGATCCAGGCTTAGCACAGTACACATTGCGTGAACCCATCTGTTTAGTTACAACGAACCCAAGAGGGTCTCTGTGAATCTCCCGTCTTTCATTCCTCATTCATCTCACAACCCGCAGCCGTTCAGTCCCAAGGAGAGTCCTCTGGAGGGCATTTTTGGCAGGATCGCTAAAGGGAACCCTACCCTTGACAAGTTCTTGGAGACTTTCCCCTGGAGAAGTTTGGAGACATCACGCCGTCGTCGCTCCCCTGATTTCTCAGGCCACACATTTCGTGGAAAATTCCAAAAGGCTGCTTAGGCTCGGTTCTGCTTAAAGAATCCACCAAGCAACCTTGATATCTAGCTTTAACTACAGATAGTCCTTGTTTAGCAACCACAGTTGGGACCGGCAACTCAGTCGTTCAACGCAGCGGACGCTAAGGGAAACTGGCTGTGCTTACCGTCTTACTTCAGCTTTCCTTTGTTTTACAAACCTGCGAAGGTCATATATGCGAGGACTGGTCGCAACGTTACTTTTTCATCACTGCCATAACTGCAAACGGTCACTAAACAAGGCAGTCCCTAAGCGAGGCCTAGCTGTATTTAAAATCCTAAATGGCTCAGGAGCAGGCTACTTGCATCTGCCCATCCTATCAGGCTGGGCACACTCCAGGTCACTAGGTTGCCATCTAGTGTGGTCTAGGAAGTGTCCCTGTCCTGCAGAAGACCCTTCCCCACTTGCCTTCTGGAAGGCCTTGGAGAGCTGGCTGTTCCCAGTGTCGGGATGGGATGATGCTGGAGCCCAGCAAGACGGCATGTGGATGTCTAGGAAAGTGCTGCCCTGGGGGTGCCATGCATTTTTATCGCATTGTTATTGTTCTTTAGGTTATGGGTTGCAGGGTTCTGTTGTTTTTATTGTTTGGTGCACCGCCTGGGGTGGTTGTCACAATCTGGGCAGTTATACAACTCTTTTAAAATAAATAAATACAATGTGGGGATTCCCCAGGCCCAGGCCAGCTCTCTAACTGCCCCACATCAGCCTTCTCTTTGCATAGACTGCTGATGAAATCATGCCCCCCTCCCAAAAGGCATCTCATTTCATTTCTTGGAAGCCTGGGCAAAGAGGGGAGGGAGGAAGGAAGGAAGGAAGGAAGGAAGGAAGGAAGGAAGGAAGGAAGGAAGGAAGGAAGGAAGGAAGGAAAAGAAAAAAAAAGAAAAATCTCTGGGTCAATAATTACATTCCTTCTTTGCAACAAGCTTCCTTTCTTTGGTTGGCGCTTTTGATGTTAATCTGTTTTGCCTCTTACATCTCAAGAGCAAGCAAATCTACCCTGATAGAAATCTTAGCAGATATATCGAGATCTATTTCACTGGGGAGATTAAAGGCAGAAGAAAGGACATGAAGAAAGCGTTTTTCTTAGCAACATTCTTTGTAAGTTGCAAAGGAAGGGGGAGGGAAGGATGGAGACTTGAAGGTGGATTTTCCTCCCCTTGAACAATAATTCCAATAATAAGATTTTAAAAAATACAATATATATTTATGCCGTAGAAAAAGGCACTCCACAGCCTTCTGATGTTTTTAGTGCTGCGTTGAAATCTTCACCCAGTGCTTTTTAAATATTCCTTGAAAGAAGCTCACTGCACAATCAAAACAACCGGGGGGTCAAAAAAGTCAAGATGGTTCCTACAACCATGTGACCAGAGCTCCACCCCTTTTTTACTGGGGTCGTGGTGCAGTAAAAAAGGGCGGGGCATCAATCACATGGTTGTGGTCACCATCTTGACCTTATTGGCCCCCTCCCTGCAAACACCCCTCCAACCTAGCCCCTTTTGCATTTCCAAGTTCTGCCATGTCCTACTTCACCTCTTAGGTGTGCATTCTCAAAAATACTTCTGAACCAAGTGCAAAGTGGTGGTGCCAGAAGACCAAAACGAACAGCAGGCTTCTGCGCTGCAAGTCGCTTGCGGGATCCTGTGCAGGCAGAAGCAACAGTGACAAACGGATTGCGGGTTCTGCCGTTGGGACAATATTTCAGAAAAGGCCTTGCCTCTTGCAGCCGCTGGCCAAGATCCCGATACCGGGATAGAAGGGCAGAGAACAAGGCTTGAAAGCTTTCCTGCTGCTGCACGATTCGATTTCGCACCCCGCTTTGATTGCCCCAAATTTCTAGCTAGTCTTTCACCCACTCGGGATGGAAAGCTCATCCAGGGCACCCCAATATCTCATGATCCTGTTTGACGTTGCAGATAATCCATACGGAACAAAGGCTATGCACTGACAAGTAAGGTTGGCTGGAGCCTTCTGTTATAGCCCCTTAAAGGACAGGAGTGGTGCAGGGCAAAAGCTGCGCACGGTGTTCGGAGTGTGCTGTGGGCTCTAAATATGATAAATGTCTCTCCCTAACACACACGAGCTCCTCCGCATCTCGACGACTTAATCAGTTAAAATATGTTGACGTCGCATATCTAGAAACGCACTCCCTCCCTTGGGACGAACGCCCTTGATGTATCTCTTTGGTTGAGGAGCAACACAGAGCATTTAGCGGTGGCACTAATGAGTCATACAAGGGATGCCCCACACATCTCTTTGTTGGGGATTGATTTCTGCTCAATCTACGCATTCATCCATGCCTTGAAAGACAAGAAGCCAGCGCTCTCCAATTCCTACCTAATTACTGGGGAGAGACACGGACCCTCATCCGTGTGTGGTTTGTCTCTTTTTTTAATACACCACCTCATCTCAACAATATTATAATTTTTGACACAGTGGAGGTACGCATAAGCCTGTAGGTGCCCTTTTGTAGCCCTAAGATTGCATGTTGACCCTGGACTAAGAGTTGGAACCTGAAGGTTCACTGGTAGGATTAAAAAGAAGAACAGACTTCAGTTTTTAGAGACCGACGTTTCTCTTTAGTTCAAATATGAATGGAGGTGTTCCCTTCTTTTTTGAAACTAGATATTTGTAGTATGGTGCTCTGTGCAGTGGATAGACCTATCAGATCTTGGCTGCAAAAACTTGGGCCCCTACAAGATGGCAGTACAGAGATACAGAAAAGTCAACTCAAACTTGATCTCTTCGCTCCAGTTCTGGGAGCCCTAGAGATGTGGACCTCTTGCTATTGGGGAATTGAACCTGTTGGTCTTCATGAAGCTTAGCAGTTGTGTAAGTGCAATGTGGTTGGGTTCACATAACATGTTAAACTGGGGTTAATGAAACACAATGGCGATGTTCATATAATATGCCCAGACAAAACCATATTATGGCTTCATGTAATGGCTTTGTTCACACATAATTGGGTTGTCTGCAATATGTTGAACCACAATTTTTCCATCGGCACTTTAGCCTAATCTAGAGTTTTGTCTGAATCCCACCCAAATATACTACTTGCAAAGTTCTGGAGCTTATCTCCTGGTTAAAGAAATCTTACGTTTGCTTCTTTCTTTCAATGAACCTCCTATAGGTCCTGAGTTGCGTGAATCCTGATAATGTGAACAGCCCTGAGATTCCAGTGAAGATCTTGAACTGTGACACCATCACACAAGTGAAGGAGAAGTTTCTTGATGCCATCTTCAAGAATGTGCCTTGTTCTCATCGGCCCAAAGCTGCAGACATGGATCTTGGTGAGTTGAATATCTTCTTAGATCAATGAAGCTGGACAGCCATGGAACCCACCCATTCATACAACCATGTGGGTCATGTAGTTGTAGTCAGGTTCTCCCATGAACATAGTACTGAACATGCTCTTTCTTCAGTATTTGGGGGGAATGATATATCAGGAACTGAAACCTAACCTTGGCTAAGGAGAGATGGCTAGATTTTTGGCAGTATCAGAGAGAACATTGAGAAGATTTCTTAGATGGATGGTACCTTGCAGTTTAACATCTTGGGGGGGGGGGCTAAATGTCTCTGGATCTTCTGAAGCAGGATCTGAAGTACTACCAAGTTCTCCAAGAGTTCCTCTATCCTTAATTTAAGGAGTCAGGTGAGAACTGAGGTGAGCACTGACCGTCAACAGGCAGGGATTATACAGACCAAGGTTACAATTAACCAAGTTGAATATGTTGTGTGACTATAACCACTAGTACTTTAACTGACCTTGTTAAGCTTGTTTGGTCACTAAGCCATTGGTCACTAGCCCAGTGCTGAATTTCCTAGGGGTTCCCTTGAGATAATTTGTAACTTAATGCATTTTCCAACTCCCTCTATGGCAGGGACAGTCAAAAAGTCAAGATGGCAGCCACAGTCACACAGTCAAAGCCCTGCCCCTTTTTATATGATGCACTCAAAAAGGAGTAGGACTTTGACTGCGCAGTTGGGGCCACCATCTTGACTTTTCTGACCTCCCCTCCGCAGCAGACACCCCTGCTCCTTAGCATGAAGCTCACCATGAAAAAAGAGGGTGAAATTGCCTTTAGGATCCATGCCATTTAAACTGTCTTTTAGCCCCTGGATTCCCCCCCCCCCTCCAATTTAGCATTGAGGCTAATAGACCTCTGTTAACCATTTCATGTGAAGATCGGTTGCTGTTAGGCGTATGTGTGTGTGGGTGCACATGTGTCCTTGAAATGCGATCATCCAGCAAGGTCACTCATGTCAATTTATAGGAGGAGCCCAAAAGATGCTGGGCACCGAGACTCACTTTGAGCTCAGATAATTTGAAAAAGTTGTTAGCTGCAATTTGATAGCTGATGTCATGCAGGAGAACAAGCTAAATGATCCTTGCTCCTGGCAGAAATCTTTTCTGCCTTCTCTCTCATCAGAGTTGTGCTTACAGGGGTGAAGGTGGGGTGAAAGGTGAATGTGATCAAAATTCACCATTTTATGTCTGCTCAGTGTTTCTCAACTTTGGCAGCTGGGAGTTGAAGTCCACACATCTTCAAGCTGCCAAGGTTGAGAAACACTGCATTTGCTGAATGCAGGTTTAGCAGCCCAGGGCCAGGCCCTTTACCTAGTCCTCATCTCAGAATGTTTCTCCCAAGGCCTCATCTCAGGAGATCACTTCACCTCCATGCTTACTTTCAATATCCTGCCCGTTATTTTGTTCAAACCCCAAAGGAAGCCACGTTCAAAGACCATCATCCCTTCCCTTGTGATTACTTTTGCCATGACCGCTGCAGACCAGCTCTGATGACCATGGTAACGATAGCCTAACTCAGTTTCTGCAAGCCAACCAAGAGGTCCAAAACGGAGCATCTGGGATTGCTTGGGTATTGGCAGATCAAAAGATTTAGAATGAACACGCAGCTTCACCAACGCTGTTCCTTTTATTGCTTGAATTTCACCATCCTACTGATGAGCAGAGAAACCAGAGGATCCCCCCCCCCCCCCGGTGGGAGGGGAAACAAAGGGGGGCCCCCCCCCCCCCCCGGT